CAAAAAAAACGAGTAAGTTTTGAAAAAAAATTTAAAAAAACCCAAAACTTTCTGAATCTAAAACTGCCCACTTTAGATTTTCCCACAGGTACCTCAGATAAAAATTGACAATGGGGAACACACTGATTGACTTTGAATGGACATAGGTGGAATATACTCAGTATTAAAGCTAATTTAAGTTTGTTGGTTTAATTACATATATCTTCAGAGTTATCAGCATTAAATATAAAACTCTTATTCTACCAAGGTTTACTAAAGTCGAATAAGCTCACATTATATCTGTGGCAATTGGTCAGCAAAAGGATGGCTTAAAATGATGGTTACTTTTATAAATAAATAAACTTAAAAAGGGGGGTGACGCCTGGCTGGCTCAGTCAGTGGAGCATGTGACCCTTGATCTTGGGGTCGTGAGTTCCAGCCCCATATTGAGGGTCAAGATTACTAAAAATAAATAAACAAATAAACTTTAAAAAATTATGGTCAATTGTGTCTGCCTCATAAAGTTCTCAAGGGTAATTCTTAAAATAGCTTTCAAAATCTTCACTAACCTGAAAGTTTTGCTAAGCTAAATTCTAAATTAAGTTGAATTCATTGGCTATCTAAGTCTTTTCCAAATAAGATAAAATACTTCGACATTAATTACTAGACACAAGGTTTACCAGCTTTTGGCTTCTTTGCAGAGAAATTAAAGCTATTTGGGTCTGTTGGAAAACATGGCTTTGTGCCTTACTGAAAGATTATACAATGAAAAACTATGACATGTATTTATAAATTTGCCAACCTAAAGAATCCTGCTGTAATACAGTTCACAATTGGTTACTAGTTTTCCCTAGAGACTAAGGTTTCTAAGAGTTAAAATTCTGCTAAATGTAATTAAGACTGATAGAAATGATAAGGAAAGCAACTCTGTATGTAGGACAGTAGGAGATGTGTAAGAAGAATATAAGAGGTGAGAATATATTTTGTTGAGGGAAAAAGAAAGTAACATTGTCCTAAAGTGAGACTAGCTATTTAGAGAAAAGGCGTAGGACAAAATCTGAATGCAAAAGAAAGCTGTAAGTTTGTGAAGGGAAAGCTTAGAGAAGAATTTTATGTGTGGTCAGGACAGACTAAGCTTGAAACTAATGGATTTTAAAAGTACACCTGGGGGCCGCCTGGGTGGCCCAGTCAGTTAAGCGTCAGATTTTGGCTTGGGTCATGATGTCACAGTTCCTGAGTTCAAGCCCAGTGTTGGGCTCTGTGCTGACAGCTCAGAGCCTGGGGCCTGCTTCGGATTCTGTCCCCCTCTCCCTGCCCCTCCCCCACTCACACTCTGTCTCCCTGTCTCTCTCTCTCAAAAATAAATAAACATATAAATAAATAAAGTATACCTAGTATAAGATTGAAATTCTACCATACTCTGTTAAAAAGACAAAGTTTTCTTGGATTGTTGGTCTGCTCTTGATAAGAAAGTGTAAACAAAGGTGTTTTTTTTTTTTTTTTATCTGCCCAGAAAACAAAAGTTTCTATGTTTTGTCTTTATCAGGTCTTTGACTAAAGTTAAAACTTCTCAAAATTTATAATGATCTGTAATCCTATTTAGATAGGTATTTTAAAACTTTCTAAGGTTTCTTGGGGCGCCTGGGTGGCGCAGTCGGTTAAGCGTCCGACTTCAGCCAGGTCAAGGTCTCGCGGTCCGTGAGTTCGAGCCCTGCGTCGGGCTCTGGGCTGATGGCTCGGAGCCTGGAGCCTGTTTCCGATTCTGTGTCTCCCTCTCTCTCTGCCCCTCCCCCGTTCATGCTCTGTCTCTCTCTGTCCCAAAAATAAATAAAAAACGTTGAAAAAAAAATTAAAAAAAAAAAAAAAACAAAACTTTCTAAGGTTTCTAACAAACGTCCCTGAGATTTGAATTGTCAATGAAGCCTTTTTGACTCATTGGGCTTGTTGATTTGGTCTGTTAAATTACTTGGGAAGCACCATCAAACTCATAGTAATTAGCCTTAGGTTGTATTGTATGGGTAAATGCTATAACTGGTTTAGAAATTACATACAGTCCCTAGGGTTTTAATATGTTTTGATATAAGGTCATCACTTGACATTCCAATCATTAAAATGCTAGGTGTTGGGGCACCTGGGTGGCTCTGTGCTGACAACTCGGAGCCTGGAGCCTGCTTCGATTCTGTGTCTCCCTCTCTCTCTGCCCCTCCCCCGCTCACACTGTCTCTCTCTCTCTCTCTCTCTCTCTCTCTCTCTCAAAATAAAATTTAAAAAAAAACATAAAAATTTTAAAAAATAGGGGCGCCTGGGTGGCGCAGTCGGTTGGGCGTCAGACTTCAGCTCAGGTCACGATCTCATGGTCCGTGAGTTCGAGCCCCGCATCGGGCTCTGTGCTGACGGCTCAGAGCCTGGAGCCTGTTTCAGATTCTGTGTCTCCCTCTCTCTCTGCCCCTCCCCCGTTCATGCTCTGTCTCTCTCTGTCTCAAAAATAAATAAATGTTTAAAAAAAAATTTTTTTAATAAAATAAAATAAAATAAAATAAAATGCTAGGTGTCACAGAAATAACTGGATTTCCTTGTCAGCTACATTACAATGAACTTTACTATCAGATCTTTAACCATGTCCGTTTCTGAGGGTTTTTTGTTTTTTTTTTTTTGTCATTTATAGTTACTGTTCCGATGCTCTTGCGAAACGAGTTTTGTCTTCAAGGAGATTCATGAAAAGGACGGGTTTTTTTGTTTTTGTTTTTGTTTTTGACAAATATGGGTAATTGGTATCTTTAAGATCATAAAACTGAACTGGGTAAGAATTTCCAGAACTAATGGGAAAGCTTCGTTCAAACAGAACAAAAATTAATAATGTAGAACTGAATGAATTAAAGAAGATGACTATAGTTTTATGACTCTGGTTTGAAACATTGCTGGTTCTCTAATGTTTGCTTTTTCAGATTAAGGAAACTTTCTCTTAAGATATCCATGACTTACAGAAATATGATAAAGTATTCTTTTTTATGAGCAAATTGAAACATTTAACTTTTCTCCCTACCTGAACCCTCTAAAATTCAGAAAATCTCAGTGAGTATTCTTTCTTCCTTGGCAATTACAATTATTTGCATAAGTTCAACAAGAATCTGTCCTTGTTTTTTTTTTTAAGTTTATATATTTATTTTGAGGCGGGGAGGGGTAGAGAGAGAGGAGAGAGAATCCCAAGCCAGCTCCACAGTCAGCACAGAGCCCGACTCGTGGCTCGAACCCATGAACCATGAGACCATGCCCTAAGCAGAAATCAAGAGTCGGACACCCAACCAAAGGAGCCACCCAGGCACCCCGAGAATCTGTTCTCCTTGTAACAGGACCCATTAGAAACTTTCATTATTTTACCAAGGCTTTGACTGGAACGTCCTATTTGAGAGAGACATGCATAGACTCAGATGGGACCAGACAGCTCTAAGGAACTAAGGTTGACTATGGAGCCAATGAAGCTCCTTGGAAATGTTGGCCTGATACCTTGCTTACAGAGTTTCCAGCAGCCTTACCTGGTGAGTAAAGAACATCACTTCCTGGCAGGTGCAGAAACCTCAGGATATTTTGGGGATCCCGAGAAGAGAAATTCACCCGCATCTACAGGTATTGCAGGCATGTCTAATGGCAGGTATTTGGATTGGCTTCTGGCCTCAAGAGGCTATTAAAAGTTCAATCTAGGAGGCACCTGGGTGGCTCCGGTGGCTGGGCATCTGACTCTTGATTTGGCTCAGGTCATGATCTCACAGTTCGTGAGTCGGAGCAGCCCCCGCATCGGGCTCTGTGCTGATAGCACGGAGCCTGCTTGAAATTATTGCCCTGTCTCTGCCTCTGCCCCTGCCGCTGCTCATGCTCTCTCTCCCTCTCTCTCAAAATAAAAATAAACAAAGAAACATTAAAAAAGAATAAGTTAGTCTTGATTTGACTATCTCTGGAAGGTGAATTTAGAGAAAAATTATGTTTCAATAACACACCTTCGTGGATGTTAAATTCCAGTTCTGATTGTCTTTGAATGTTTGTTTGCTTAGCTAGACAACTTGGAAACCAGAGAAATTGCCACAATGGCTCATATGTAGACAATCTCTGTGCTTGTTACTCTGTGGGGATAATAAGCAGACCCCATGGGCATATGATTATTTGAACAGCTGGAAAACAGGATGGACTCAACAATTGTATAACTCAACTATCACCTTGACCAATTCTGTGTGGCTGGGATGACACAGTCATTCCTAAAGGCCAGAGCCTACCCTCCTCCACAGGGTCAACTCTGGACTTGTGGAGATCATAGAAGGCCCCACTTTCCTTCTGACTGCATAGAGGATGCCCTTGGGATGGCCTTATCCCCCAGAGGAGTCTTCCCCCATTTGCCAGCAACTTCTCATAATTAGGATATTGTTAAGGCTAGATACCAAACAAAGAGGGCTTCCTGATGGTTTTATCTCTTAACGGTATTTGTCCCAGGAGCTGCATCATTCATGTCAAATTGCAAGTAGAGGCTTTACCCAAGCATGTAGCCGCCACCTTTAATCAAGCCCAGCATGCAGTCACCCACAAATTTAAAGGGAGCCCTCCAAAACTCAATGGCCCCTGATATCCCAACTGCAGCTCAAGAAGGAACCTACGCTTTATTAAAATAGAATGTTACAGGGCTACTGGGTGGCCCAGTCTGTTAAGCATCTGACTCTTGATTTCGGCTCAAGTCATGCATGATCTCATGGTTTGTGAGTTCGAGTCCTACATCAGGCTCTGCGCTGACAGCATGGAGCCTACTTGGGATTCTCTCTCTCTCTCTCTCTCTCTCTCTCTCTGTTCCTCCCCCCCACTGTGCTCTCACTCTCTCAAAATAATAATAAGCAAACTTAAAAAAAAAAAAAACCCAGAGTGTTATATATATACTCCAGATAACCACAAAAATTACTGAGATGAATACTACCCAAATTGGCATGTTAAAGTCTCCCTCCCACTCCATTCATGATTGGTTAAACTCCTGGACTGGAGGAGGATTTGGGTCAAAAGTTGTTTAATTAGGGCTTCTCTTTTTCATCCTAATAATCAGCTTATTTTCCAGATCTCTCTCCGCCTGGTGCCGAGATTCCTTCACGGCCACATGTTTGAGCTGACAGATGATCCTTTCCACTCGGGAAAATCCACACGTGCTATCTGCCTTGGATACAGCTGCCTCTGCCTTTCATAATCCCAACATATAAATTCCCAACCGACCAATGTTGATCCATACGTAGGGACATCTCTACACCCCTCGTTCAGCAGGAAGAAGCCGTTTGAAGATGAGACTTCCACTCAAATGCCAAGGATCTGTCATTGCCGACCTGTCGGGGTGGGGGGATGATCAGGGCCACTTTTAGGCAACAGGCTTGAGCAGTGGAAACCTGAGTGAGGTAAATTAGCCCACAGCCACCGCCCCCCCCCCCCCCCGCCCGTGGGGGGATTTGGGAACTCTTTTTAAAATTGCCACCGGCCTTAACTAACCAATGGGCCATTTACACAGTTACCAAAAAAAAAAAAAAAAAAAAGTTCCCATACGTTCCCATATCTCCGCCTCCCACCCTGTAACTGTGGCCCCACAATACCGCCTGGTGGCAGACCAGGCAGACAGTCTCTCCTTTGCTGTCCTGCCCGCTGCTCTCTTGCAGTGTATTCAATAAATCTCCATCTCCTTTGTTCTGACTTGGGTGAATTCTTTCACCACCCATGCCAGCCCCCACTCTATTGGGACGCCACGGAAACTGAGGTTCAGAGAGAAGTGACTTACCGAAGGTTGCTCAGTGACGGGGCACCCACCTCTGCCTGAACAAAGCCTTCCTCTCCAGCCCGCCAACGGAGCCCCTGCGCATGCCCACAGGTCTCCTAGCTCCCTCCTGGGCCCACCCTGGCCTCCTGCCACGCCTGCCCTTCCGACTCTGCCAGAGGCCAAATGAAGAGGAACTTCTCCAGGTCTTAATGAGTACAACCAGGAAACTGGATTTTTTTTTGTTTGTTTGTTTTTTCCTGCTGCTTGAAAATGGGCTCAGAGGTCATTCCCAAAGCATTTCCCAAAATATCTGAGTAATGACAGCATGGCTGGAAGTGGCTAGCTTGTAGGCTTTGGAGAGAGTCAGGCCTGGTTCATTTCTCAGTTCTGTCACTTTTTCGCTGTGCTCAGACACCTCTCTGAGCCTCTGTTTTCTAATCTGTAAAATGGGGATGTTGATAGCACTTACCTCTGAGGGTTATTTGGGGATTTAATGAGTAAAGAGCACAATATATAATGTGCTTAGCACGGTGCCTGGCACATAAGTCAGTGACCAGAAAATCAGCGTTTTTGTTATTATTATTATTTTAAGGTGCTCTGCCTTCCAAGGTGACAACTTGGAGACAGATCCCATTCCCTCAGCTAAAGATCTTTTCTTAAGTTAAAAACTCAGTCTCAGGGTGCCTGGGTATCTCAAGCAGTTAAGCATCAGACTTCAGTTCAGGTCATGATCTCACAGTTCGCGAGTTCGAGCCCCGTGTCGGTCTCTCTGCTGTCAGCACAGAGCCTGAAAAATAAAATCTTAAAAAAAAAAAAGAAACAAGTCAGTGTCTCTTCTTCGATACACACAAAATACACAGATGACTAACACAAAGTAGATAAATTGGGCTTCATCAAAGTTACAACTTTTGTGTTGCAAATGACACCATCAAGAAAGTGCAAAGAACCCACAGGACGGGAACAATTATTGCAAATCATATATCTGAGAAGGGACTCGATTCTAGAATATAGGAGGAACTCTTACAATTCAATAATTAAAAGGCAAGTAATATAATTTAAAAATAGGCAAAGAGGGGCACTGGTAGCTCAGTCGGTTAAGTGTCTGATTCTTGATTTCAGCTCAGGTCATGATCTCTAGGTTCGTGAGATCGAGCCCTGCTTGGGGCTCTGAGCTGACAACACGGAGCCTGCTAGGGATTCTCTCCCTCTCTCTGCCCTTCCCCCACTCGCCCACACACCTGCACACACACACACTCTCTCTCTCTAAATAAACTTTAAAAAATAAAAATAGGCAAAGGATATGCGTAGAGATTTCTCCAAAGAGGATATGCAAATTGGCAATAAGCACATAAAAATCAACATTACTAGTCATTAGGGAAATGCAAATCAAAACCACAATGAAGCATCACTTCAAGGAAAGATGAAATCTCTAGAATCAAAACGGATGGCCAACAACTGTTAGTGAGGATGGGGAGGAATTGGAACCCTCCTGCATTTCTGGTGAGAATGTAAACGGCTCAGCCACCATGGAAAAGAGTTTGGCAGTGCTCTAAATTTTTTAAAAATGTTTATTTTTGAGAGAGAGAGACAGAGACAGACAGAGACAGAGACAGAGAGAGCACAAGTGGGGGAGAGGCAGAAAAAGAGGGAGACACAGAATCCGAAGCAGGCTTTAGGCTCTGAGCTGTCCACACAGAGCCCGACGCAGGGCTCGAACCCACGAAGCCCAAGATCATGACCTGAGCTGAAGTCGGCTGCTTAACTGACTGAGCCACCCAAGCATCCCTATGTTCTGTCTTGTAACCAAGACTCCCACTTTGATTTGTCAATAAGTGGATTATAGAGGTTAATGAGAAATGCTAACAAACCCTGGTGCACCCATTCAAAGAAACTGGAACCCTCCCCAAATCCACATTTTCAGATGCCAGCCAAGGGCCAACCTTATAAGCACGCCTTTCTAGAACTGCTAGGTTAACTCTTTTCTGCACATGCCCTTTGTCTTGGGCCAAGGCATCTTGAGAACAAAACATCAGTAGGACCCCACGCAGCTGGGTGAGACCAGCACACATCACTGAACTTGGTTATGCCATACTGAGATCTTGGACCCAGGTGAAATGAAACCCACGAATCACAAAGGTTTATCTTAGACAAGGAAATGGCTTCTTAACATTTCTGTACGAGCCTTTCTTTACCTGAGCAGAGGTGCAAGGATTCAGCACAGCACAACTGTGGCCAGTAAGTTGAAGCTGCTTTGAACACCTTCCGGGGCACAGGCAATGAATATCATGATGTCCAGGGGACTCACAGAAGAAGTACAGTCCCAGAGGCCAAACCTGCCCCCCAACCTGAAACAGAGTTTACAGTGTCAGGGCCCCCCTAGGAGGGCGTGTATTTGTCTGAAAGTCTAGGTATCAGGACTCCCCAGATGGGACCTCCTATCCTAGGGTTCTGGCTGCGGTCCAAATAATTCCCTTGAGTTATTACCTTAAGAGGGACTACTTGGGGCGCGTGGGTGGCTCAGTCGGTTAAGCGTCCGACTTCAGCCAGGTCATGATCTCGCGGTCTGGGAGTTCGAGCCCCGCGTCGGGCTCTGGGCTGATGGCTCAGAGCCTGGAGCCTGCTTCCGATTCTGTCTCCCTCTCTCCCTGCCCCTCCCCCGTTCATGCTCTGTCTCTCTCTGTCTCAAAAATAAATAAAACGTTAAAAAAAATTTAAAAAAAAAAAAAAGAGGGACTACTTGAGGCCATCAGTTCCAAGCCAGAACAGTTCTGAAAAGCCAAGACCAGTGATGCTCTCTCCTCTTATCCCCTGAGCCTCCCAGGTACTGGGATTTTGTTTTTCTCTGTTGTTAAAAAGTCACTATGTCCCACTCAGTAATTAAAACTTTAATTCTTGCAGTGCCTGGGTGGCTCAGTTGGTTAAGTGTCCGACTTCAGCTTAGATCATGATCTCATGGTCTGTGAGTTCAAACCCCGCGTTGGGCTCTATGCTGATAGCACAGAGCCTGCTTTGGATCCTCTCTCTCTCTCTCTCTCTCTGTCTCTCTCTCTCTTCTTTCTTCCTTCTTCTCTCTCTCTCTCAAAACCAGAGAATCAGACTATCAGTCAGTTCATTGATGGAAACTACAACTAGTGGAAAAGTCAAATGCAATAATCCATAGCCATGAGATGTCTCCCATCTGCCAGGAGTGGGTGGGAGGGTCACGGTCCTTGTGACATGCCCTCGCCCAACCTGCTGCTTTGGGCAGGAATCACAGTTAGGAAGGCAACGAGTCTGCACCAGAAATAGCCGATCAGCAGCTGAGTTTTAACTTGTGCCATCAGAAAGCAAACCCTTCATCGTGGACATCTGCACAACCAGACGGTCCGGCAGCACCCGTAATGTTTTCACAGCGGCCGCTCCGCAGAGGGGTGTCCCAAATGTGGCCAGCTCATCGAGTGGAGTGATTTCACCTGATTTTCATTCCACACAGCTCGTGATGGGGCTGAAATGGCTCGCAGCAGACAACAGCAGGTGTCAGCCCAGAGTCGGAGCCAGGCAACCAGGCTCTGTGAATTCAGGATTCCAAAAGTCAGTGGCAAAAAAATAAAAAAGGTAACTATGTAATCTGATGGATAAGTTCATTAGCTTCATCGTGGTAAATATTTCACAATGTACGTGTATTTCGTATTTCGTACATTGCATAGCAGGAAACCACATTGTAGACCTTAATTATGGGCAATTTTTTCTAGGGAATTTTTATTTGCCGGTTACACTTCAATAAAGCTGAGGGGGAAATGGCACTGGGTTTTCTTTTGCTGCAGCCAAGCCAGATAGCTTTCCTAACTCTTTCTGTCATGTTGGTCTTAGAGCCCAGGTAGGTGACCTCAAAAGTATACACGTCATCTGGAGTATCATCAGCCTCTAACGGTCAGACAGGCAATTTCACAAGAACTCATTAGCAACCTCAAACTGCTTTAAAAAAAATTTTTTTTAATGTTTATTTAAAGAGAGAGAGAGACAGAATGCAAATGAGGGAGGGACAGAGAGAGAGGGAGACACAGAATCCGAAGCAGGCTCCAGGCTCTGAGCTGTCTGCACAGAGCCTGATGCAGGGCTCGAACTCACAAACCATGATATCATGACCTGAGCTGAAGTCAGGCATTCAACCAACTGAGCCACTCAGGTGCCCCTGAAACTGCTTTTTATAAACCTCAAAAGTGTATCTCCATTTAGAGACTGCTTCTCTTTTTCAGTTCTCGCTCTCTTTTTTTTTTTTTTCCTTAGAATTTCCAAAGGGCGAAAATCATAGTAAGAATCATCAGTTACAGATGATTGTTCTGTTTTCAATACTCGTAAGATTTCAAATTCCAGGCCACCCACGTGGCAAAATACAAGAAAGTTGCATCCCAGTGACTTTTATTTTTTTATTTTTTTGCAACTCTCTCTAATTGGGATGATCCCTCTGGCACTTATGAAATTACAGGCATATAACAGTTTACATCAATTTTAACCATACATCCAGATGCAATAGCTGTAAAATACAAAGGCATTTTAAAAGTTCCTTCTCCTTCATTTTCATTGCAAATTTACTTAAACCCCTAGCAGTAAATTCAGTATTTATGGGGGGGTTGTGGCAGCAGCACCAGCTGGAGCCCCCCCTCTTTTCCTTCCCCCCTGATTTGCCTGAAGCTTTGCTCCAGCTCTGAGAACTGATTTAACTTTTTCCCTCCTGCTTGGAGGAGAGAATAATATAAACTTCCAACATTTTTGGTCCAACCAAAGGCCACCATTGGAAATGTTTGGGCTCTTTCTCCTCCTGCCTTGAGGAGGGAACAAAAACCAAAGACATCACCCCCTGAGATTTCCCCCTTTCATTTTAGCCAGCGCACCCAAAAGAGGCCAAGGGATCCGGCTCCTCAACTCTCCTGGGCTCCTTCTATCACTATCAGATCCCAGAGGTAATCTGTACTTCTTACAGCAGATTCGGCTGTGGCTCAAACAGCTCTTGCAAAAACCACGGGTAACGGCAGAGCCACCCATGCACCAAAGGATGGCTGACCATTCCGGGAGGCCACGCAGGCCACCCCAGGGCCCCTGGGCAGGTACCGAGCACTCAGCAAGGGCTTCAGAAAAGAGCTCCGGGCCAAGGCCGCCTGGGTCACGGTCACAAAGGAAGAAGACAGCCAGTGCTTATCCAGCTAGGAATCTCATGCTCATATCTTAGCAAGGATGTCCCTTTTCCTTCACCCTTCCTTTCCCCAGACAATGCTTGTACCGCATTCCACTTGAGTCAGGATCCATCGAGCACGTCCTATCGCCGCCAGCACGGGTTGGGGGTTCCCAAGGCCACCACCAGGTTTGTTAACGTGCTAGGAAGAGTACAGGCCCCAGCCTATGGCCATACCCACGCCTCAGATGTATTACAGCCAAAGGACACAGGGCCAAACCAGCCCAGGGAAAAGGCACGTAGTTGGAGTCCGGAGGAAACCAGGTACAAGCTGCCAAGGGCCCTCTCCCGGGGGGGGGGGGGGGTGTCCCATGGGATGCACTGATTTCCTCCAGCAAGGGGTTTGTGAAATGTTGTCTACAAAGGAACCTTGCCTGAGCCTCGGATACCAGGGTTTTTACTGGGGGCCGGTCATATGGGCACCCCGCTCCACAGCACAAACCAAAATCCCAGACTCCCAGAAAGAAAGCAGGTGTTTGCTGTAAAGCACATGGCTTATGCAAACAGTTTACACACAAGGAACTACTCTGATCATTTCTGGGGATGGTGGGGACCTTCCTGAAATTCAAGTTTCTCAGTGCCAACCAAGGCTCAACCGTGAAAGCCGGCCTCTCTCCTCAAGCCTGCTGGGTTTACTCTTTTCTGCACACCAGGGCATAGCGGAAGATGAGCCTTCATAGTCCCTCTGGAGAGAAGACTCCATGAGCGAGGCTTCTAGAACCCAGCTCCCAGCTCATATTGGGCAGAAGGAGACAACTCAGAAACAAAGAGCAGAGACGGCCATAACCCAGCCACTGCTGATGCGTTATCCAACTGGGCCCAGCCTGCGAAGGAGAGTCTGGGAGGGAACGTGGGGGCTACAGAAACTGAGCCCTGTGGGCTTTCCCTCCCCAGCCCCGGCGTGTAGCTGAAAGAGGCACCTAGCAGTATATCCAGAGTGTGACTGAGATCCACAGTGTTTCTGGAAGCAAAGTCCAGAGGGTAGGACAAAGCCACCAGCCCTGGCCAGCTGAGCCAGACATCTGCCTCCAGCCCTCTGCTGCTGATAATCTGCTCCCTTGATCTGGTAAACATTGACTTGTGCCTAGGACACCAGTCAGGCCAAGCTCCAGGAGTAGAGGTTCCAGTTGGCCACTCTGCGCACGGGGACAGGATGTTCCGCCTCGGCTGGGGGGCCGAGAGGGCTGCACTGAGGCCCTTCTCCCTTGGTGGAAACTTCTGGCCTGTGAGCTCCACTCTGGGCTCCCTCCACACCATTTTTCTCAGTTAGAAACCTAGACCCAGAGGGCTGAGGTAGACACTGGGGGCAGGCTCGCAAGGCACCCCCAGGAGCGGCAGAACAAGGAGGTAGGATCACCTTGCCAGTCTCCAGACTTGCCCAGAAAACAGAAGAGAGAAGTTGGGAAACGATGTCTGGACTGGTGGAATGAGATCCAATCCCAGAAGCAAATAGGCCAGGGTTTGGATCTCTATTCTTTTTTTTTTTTAATTGTTTAAGTGTTTATTTTATTTTTGAAGAGAGTGAGAGAGAGCACAATAGGGGGGCAGGGCAGGGAGAGAAGGGGACAGAGGATCCATAGCAGGCTCCGTGTTGACAGTAGGGAACCCCATGTGGGTCTTGAACTCAGAAACTGTGAGATCATGTCCTGAGCAGAAGTCAGACGCTTAACCGACTGAGCCACCCAGGCACCCTAATCCCTATTCCTACCAGCTCTGAGACCTTGCAGACACATGTTCCTTCTCTGGGCTTCAGTTTCCCCATCCTTCTAGTGGGAATACCAACATCTCCTATTTGTATAGAAGGCAATGCAGGAATTAAAAGTGCAGGCTTCAAGGGCCCCTTGGGTGGCTCAGTCGGTTAAGTGTCTTGACTTCAACTCCGGTCACGATTTGGCAGTTTGTGGGTTCAAGCCCTGCGTCAGGCTCTATGTTGACAGCTCGGAGCCCAGAGCCTGCTTCAGATTCTGTGTCTCCCTCTCTCTCTGCTCCTCCCCCACTCATGCTCTGTCTGTCTCTCTCTCAAAAATAAATGAACATTAAAACATTTTTTTTAATTAAAAGAAAAAAGTGTAGGCTGTGGCATCAGAATAACCCATTTCATATTCCAGCTGTACCGTGCCCCTTGCTAACTGCATGACTTGGAAAAGTTCTCTAATTGTCCTGGACCCCACCTGAGGGCTGCTGGCTAAGGCTGACCCGTGGCAGGGCTTAGCTAAACCTCAGACCTGGGTCTGGTGAGTTCTTAGAGGGCTTCCTGGAGAAGGTGGCAACTTGAGAACAGCCCGTTGGGAGGGGGGAGCTGCTAGGGTTTGCTGAGGAAGGCGGAAGGGGGGCTCCTCCCTGGCACAAGCCACTCTCTGCTCCCCAGTGAGGAGAGGAAGGCATGGGAGGGAAGAAGGAAAGAGGAGAGTAGCCTCCAGCACTTTCTTACTGTTAGTTTCTCACCTGAAATATGGTAATGTTGGATCAAATGATCCTTAAAGGCATTACCACTCACCCTGATTTGTTTTTACATACTGAAAAGAAAAAGAGGGGGGCTCCTGGGTGGCTCAGTTGGTTGAGCGTTGGACTTCGGCTCAAGTCATGATCTTGCGGTCCATGAGTTCGAGCCCCACATCAGGCTCTGTGCTGATGGCTCAGAGCCTGGAGCCTGTTTTCAGATTCTGTGTCTCCCTCTCTCTCTCTCTGCCCCTCCCCCACGCATGCTCTGTCTCTCTCTCTCTCTCTCTGTCAAAAATAAACTTAAAAAAAGAAAACAAAAGAAAGAGGGGAAAAAAGGCTTGATGCAGGACATTTGGGGAGCCCAAATGCAAGAGGGCAGGGGGTCATAACACAGTCATGAGCCAAGACCGCAAGCATGAGAGACTAGAAAAAGTTTCCAGGCAATGAGGATAGTTGAAAAGTAAGTTCCCTGAGGAAGGATGGCTCAGCAACAGAGGTTCTGGGTACTGGGGTGGAACGAGAGGCGGCAGGCTGTCCTGGGACCCTCAGGTGAATGCCATGGCTGGCCAGCAGCCACCATTCCATCTTTCAGGAAAGTGAGACCTGAGACCTGAGGACGCGGGCGTGGGGCTGCTTAGGAGGGTCCTGGCATTCCTCCTCCGAGAGCCATTAGCTCCACCTTCCCACCAGTCTGCAGATATTGCGAACCTGGGGCAGGGGGCAGGACCATAACCTCTTTCCCAATAATCAGGCTGTGGCAACGCCAAGGCCCCCTATTCTCCATCAGTTGCCGAGAGCCCTAAAGGAACATAAGTAATTATGACCAGCGCTAACAAGTGACCTTTCCGCACGCCAGGCGCTATTTCAAAAACTTATGCTTTATCTCACTTAATCCCAACCATACTATTATGGCTTCCATTTTACACACGGGGAGACTGAGGCTCAGAGGGGTTCCATGACTTTCCCCAGTCACATAGTTTGTAGCAGGGCCAGGATCCAAACCCCATACCCATGCCTCTAACCACCATGGAGTATGACCCTTTTACCTAATTATAAACCATGTACTCGCTATGCATTCAGGGCTTCAAGACCAGCCCCTATCCCCCCTCAAATTCTCCCTAAACAAGAATTCTGGAGCGACCACTGCACTCCATCTGGCCTTGACTTCTGAGCTTTCTATTCTGATGGACAGAGAAAACAGTCCCAGCCTGGGGTACTGGAGTGTGCCCTTGGCTCTTTGCTGTGGCCCTGCGCTGCTGGCTATTGGCCTTGGGGGTCACACCCCTTCTCTGGGCCCGACAGCATCACCCTGTCCAATGAGGCTGCGGCTAGATCAGAGGCTCCCAGGCCTAGGTGCTTCCAGCACTGGGATCAGCTCCCGCCCACCCCTAGGAAGGCCAGGAGCCCAGGGGCGGGACCTGTTCGGAGTTAAATACTTGTGAACAGCACTCCACTGGCCTCTTGTCTCAGTCTTAGAGCAGGAAGTTTGACCTCGATTAATCATGGTAAGTGCCTGCCGGCGGCCATGGCAGCCTCCCCCTGGTGACATCTGCGGTGAGACTTCCAGACACGTGCCTTGTATCTGAGCCTCCGAGTCTTACTGTCCTTTTCTTTCTCCTCAGACGACTTACAGCAACAAAGGAGAGAAGGTAAGCAGGAGGGGAGATGTGGGGTCAGGGCCCCGGGAGACTGGGATGTCAGCAAAGAGCAGGAAGGGAACTTCGGTGGGTGTGTGACGTCCAAGATGCTTGCTCAGGTTCATCTCTGCCCGTCCCTGTCCCCCAAAGACTTAGCAGGACTCAGCCTGGCCTTGCTAAGAAAAATTTTACCTCTTCTTCTTAAATTTCTACCAATCTATTAATCCTGTCTAGAAGTTCTTTCTAGATTTTTTTTTTTAAATATAATCTCTCCCCCGACATGGGGCTCAAACTTATGACCCTGAGATCAAGAGTCATATGCTTTTCCGACTGAGCCAGCCAGCCAGCCCTGGAAGTTCTTTCTAAGGTCTAACTTAAATCCGTGTGGCTGTAGCAAACGGCAGCTCCCCTCTGGGAGACCTGGGCAGGGCTCCTGTGGGGGCTTTCTGATCCTAACCCCCAGGAGCTCAATCTCTACCAGTCTCTACGTGAGAAACGTCTCTTGAGGCTTGGCAAGGCTGCAGGGTGTTTGGTTTCTCGGTTTTGGAATTAAGGCCGGCACAAGGAAAGTGATTAGACGACACCTCTCCATCCGCACTTTTCTAGACCCACCTCCAGAGACTTAGCCTCTCCCCTTCTCTCCTTCTGCAGCCTGCGAGGGGCCGATTCCTCCATTTCCACTCCGTGACCTTCTGGGTTGGCAATGCCAAGCAGGTAAAAGCTGGGGCCGGGAACTGGAGAGGGCAGAGGGCAGGCAAGAGAGCCTCCTGGACAAGGGCGGGCCTCCAGTAGGGCCTGTGATTGGCCCCTGGGTGGGGAGGATCAGGGCCAGTGTTGGGACCATCCCAGGAAAGACAGACACTCTTTGGATCCTAATTACACAATCAGGGCCTCAGACCCCAGCAGGAAACTTATCTGACATCAGAATGGGCCAGGCAGTGGCCTTTCTTCGCAGAACGGACTCTGTGCCTGGGCAACAGGGCAGACAGTCTTAGGGGGACTGGAGGCTCTCAGCTGGGGGCCCCCCAGGCTGGCCCTCAGGAACCCGGTTGTAACTCTGTGACTTAGGCTGCGTCATTCTACTGTAACAAGATGGGCTTTGAACCTCTGGCCTACAAGGGCCTGGAAACGGGTTCCCGGGAGGTGGTCAGCCACGTGATCAAGCAAGGCAAGGTGAGTCGCCACCCCAGGACCCCACTCACCCAGGAGGCTCCCACTTGCCTTCTCTGCCCCTGCTGGTCTCTGAGTCTCCTTAGGGCTCTGGCCTCTGGGTGAAGTAGACCAGGAGGCCCTTTCCCCAGGCCCACCCGGCTCTCTCCCAGGACATCTGGTGGGGCTAAGGGAACATGGGCTGAGAGCCCCTACTCTCCCCTCCACGGGCGCCTTTGTACAACTTGCAACACGGATGTTAATTTCATCTCCTTGGCCTGGCCCACTGCTGGCCTCACAGATGTTCCCGATAAGTTGGCGGAGGCCTCAGACATCAGAACTGAAAGTCCGAGCAGTGCCCTGGTCCCTGGGACCCCTGGGGATTCCCTCCCCTGGGGGGGCCAGAGCCAAGAGCTCAGCTCAGGGAGAAGCTAAGGCAGAGACAGAGCTGGAACCCAGGGTTAAGGAATCCTGCCCGGCTGGGAGGGGTGATGTGGTCCTGGGGTGTCTCCCAGGTGGGCAGGGAGGAGGGGATGGTAATACATTTCCGGGTGCTCTCCTGAGCCACCAGCTACCCCTCCTTTCTCCTCTGTGTTCTTAGATCGTGTTTGTCTTCTCCTCCGCCCTCAACCCCTGGAACAAAGGTAAGGAGGCCCCGGGGGCTCAGGGTACCAGGGGGTGAAGACAAGCTATTGTGGGGGAAGGGTAAGGAACAAAGGACTGGGTCCAGTTCAGGGAGGGTTCCCCAGCCTAGAAGGAGATGGAACCCCGGGACTGACAGTAGAGGGGAGGGGGGAGGGGGCCATGGCTCTAGCGCCATGACCTCCCCTACTGGCCACAGAGATGGGCGACCACCTGGTAAAACACGGCGATGGAGTGAAGGACATCGCATTTGAGGTGGAAGACTGTGACTACATCGTGCAGGTGAGACGGCTTCTGGGCTGCCCTTGGTCTGTCACAGGGTCCCCTGTAGGTCAGGGCCGGAGGACCTGCCGTGTTGGGGTGACAACCCCAGACACTGCTGTGATGCACACCTGAGCTCCACCTTGCCAGCCGCATGTCGTCTCCCCGAGCCTCAGTTTCCACATCTGTAAAATGGGGACAATCAGAGCACCTACCTCACTGAGGTTTACCCCGAGGAAATGAGATCATAATTACGACTTCTCGAGTGCGACTCTGAACCAAACACCCTATTCGAGAAGCAGCTTGGAGGTTCAGAGCATAGACTCCAGAGCCAGACTGCCCAGGTCTGAATCTTATTATCTGTGAGACTTTGGGCAAGTGACTTAACTTCTCTGCGCCTCTGTTTCCTCAACCATAAAATGGAGACACAGTACCTTTCCTGTAATGTTGCTGTGAGGGTGGAAGAGGTTACTACCTTCACTGATGCCTGACATGTGATAAGCACAGCTATGCAGTCAAGTTTTGCTAAATAAATGCAGGAGTCATGCATGTAAGGGTGCCTGGCAAGGGTCTGACACAGGTGCTCGATAAATGCCCGTCGGATTCTTCCTATCCAATCACCTGTTTTACAGATGGGGAAGCTGAGGACTGGAGAGGGGGAAGGGCCACAGAGTGGGTTAGCAGAGGTGGGACACACCCCCACCCCCACCTGGTTTGTCTCTCGTAGCCCCAACCCTGGGGCTGGGTCTCAGTTTCCCTATTTGCCAGACGGGCACAAGGCATGGGTGTCAGGGGCGGTAGCTGAAGCTGGCTGTAGTTCCCGCCCGGGGCTGGAAAAACCGGAGGAGCCTGTGGCAGGACGAGGTGGGGAAGTCCCGCAGAGGCTGGGCCCCAGGGGAGCCGGCAAGGGCTCTGGGAGGGTCCAGCACTTAACCGCCTCCCTGACCCATCTCCTCTGCAGAAAGCCCGGGAACGGGGCGCCAAAATCGTGCGGGAGCCCTGGATAGAGCAAGATAAATTCGGGAAGGTGAAATTGGCTGTGCTGCAGACGGTGAGTTAACTTCGGTGCCCGTACCCCTCCTGCTGTCCGCTCCCCTGAGATGCCAGGATTCCCCACACCATCCCCCCCCCCCCCCCCCCCCAGCACCATCCTACCCTTGTGCCTCGACGCTGACGTTCTCCCTCAAGTCTGACTGCCTGCAAGGCTTGGCCAGCGGCTCATGGGAGCAACTGGTCCCCCCCCCACCTCCAGCTTCCCTTCCTCCCCTGCGGGGTGGGGAGGGAGATGGCAGTGATGACAATGGGATGTAAACGAAAGGCAGGGGCTCTGCAGAAGGGAGTGAGTGGGGTCTGGGGAAGCCCCGCCCTCTTCCAGCTGTGTGACTTTGGACAAAGCACACCACCTCTCTGTGACTCGGTCTGCAGGGCCTGCAGCTGGACCGCGTGTGTGACGCGCGACAGGCTACTTAACTCTTCTGTGCCTCCAGTGTCTTCAACTATAACCCCGGCCAGGGTCATTGCGAGGCTCAGATGAGCTCATTTGTGCACAGCATTTCGAACAACAGTGCCTGGCATGTCGCAGACACTCAGCAAAGATTTCCAAGGCTGTGTTACTGTTGCACAGAGACAATCACAGGTCCCATCACCTCAAGGTTAAATGCAGCTTAAAGATTGTTAAGATGACTGAAAGAACCCTTGGGTACAATTTGATCCAATGCCCTCATCATTCTCACTTAGCCAACATATTTTTCTTGAGCCCCCACTACTTGCCAGGCACTGCCCTAGGTGCTGAGGATACTATGATGAGCCAAACTGCAGCCTTGCCCTCACAGATCCTGGGCCCAGGGGGCGGGGAGGTGGGGGGGTGGGGCAGGCAGACCGTTAAAGTCCCGAACACATGGCAGGTGGCAATTCGTTTCAGAAAGGGGGAGGTGACCATATTGAGCTGGGGTCAGACCCGGGCGGGAGCTGTGTTGGCATCGTGACATGTGGCCCAGCCTCAGTGGGGATGAGGGCTCAGGGGCCAAGCTGCGCTGTTTTCCACCCATAGTACGGGGACACGACACACACCCTGGTGGAAAAGATGAACTATACCGGCCGGTTCTTGCCTGGATTCGAGGCCCCAGCATTCGTGGACCCCCTACTTTCCAAGCTGTGCGTACGCCTCAGGCCCGGGAGAGGGGAGTAGAAAAGGGGGGGGGGGGGGGGAAAGCACTTCCCTGATCCTCCATGCAGACGGGGCTTCTCTGAGGGGACAGAGCATCTGGGAGCCTGCCGGGGAACTCCCGAGGGTCCCCAAGGGTGGCTTGAAGGGGTAGCACAGAGGCTAAGAACATAGGCTCTGGACGAAACTGCCTGGGTTCAAACCGTGGCTCTGTCATTTTACAGCCATTTAACCTCAGCAGTTACTTCTTTTCCCTCTGCCTCAGTTCCCCATTTGTCAAATGGGGCTAGTAAGAGTGTGTGAGCTGACACGAACGGCTGCCTCTGGTAGTCCTATGTCACAGCGAGCTATTACAGTGGGAACGGGGAGACTGAGGAAATAGCCCCATCCTCACCGCCTAACGGCTTCCTTCCCCCAGGCCCAGCTGCAGTCTGGAGATTATCGACCACATTGTGGGAAACCAGCCTGATCAGGAGATGGAGTCTGCCTCAGACTGGTGAGTCCCGGCCCAACCCCTCCGCGCAAAGGAGTCAGGCCCGCCCCCCAGTTCTTGCCTCAACACACTAAAGTGGGAAATGGGGCCACAAGGGCGCAGGAGCCTAGCCTTATGTCACCGAGGCATCTTCTCCCTGTAAAGCCATCACCGTGGAGTCCAGGGGCTTTGTGGCTCAAAGTGATGGAAAGGTCTTCTCTCTGACGAACCTTGGGGAACCTCGGCACAGAGGGGGTCATGGTCCTGGGAGACCTGGAGGCAGTCTGCCACTCCCCAAACAGTGCCCTTGTGCAAATTAGGAGCAAGTGCCCTTCTCAAAGCACTTCTATCTGTTGGACCTTTGCCATACTACACGGGTGTTGTTACAAGACACTTCACTTCCATCCGAAAGAAAACTGTCATAATAAAGGTACAGGTCTATGATGTATATGATGTAAGTGAACAGTGGTTCCTTTTTGGAGCCTGCTCGGGGTGGGGCGGGGGGTATTGTGGAAGGTGGAAATGGAGACAGGGAGCCAGTCCCCGGCTGGCGCTCAGTGCCAGTGGGTCCTTATGCCACCCCGCAGGTACCTGAAGAATCTGCAGTTCCATCGTTTCTGGTCTGTGGACGACACACAGGTGCACACAGAATACAGCTCTCTGCGCTCAATCGTGGTGGCCAATTATGAGGAGTCCATCAAGATGCCCATTAATGAGCCAGCACCGGGCAAGAAGAAGTCCCAGATCCAGGTGGGGCCTTCCCTGGACCCCGGGGGCCTGGTTGGGGAAAAAGAAAGCAAGAAAGAGGTTTCAAGGCTCTTGCAGGGGCTGGGGTGTGGGTGACAGGGGCCAATGACAGTGTTTTCCTTGTTTCCTCCCACAGGAATATGTGGACTATAATGGGGGCCCTGGGGTCCAGCACATTGCTCTCAAGACCCAAGACATCATCACAGCGGTTAGAAGCTCATTCCTGGTCCTAATTCAGCTCCAGAGCCAATCTCTGCAAAATGGAGGAGAGCATGGGGGGCGGGTAGTAGCAATCCTAGGGCGTCTTCACCGGCCCAGATGGCTGGCCCGGCTCCCTGACTGATTGCTGCCACTCCCGTGCAGGCACATCCCCACCCCAGAGAGTTCAGGTTCTCTGCAGAACAGTTTCTCTGCTGGCTTTAAAAGTAGCAGGTGCCAGAGGAAGGAGGTGCCTTCCAAAAGAGGAAGCCTGGATTCTAGTCTTAGTTCTGCAAGTGACTTGCTGTGTGTCCCTGGGGGATACAACCCCCTCTCTGGGCTTCAGTTG